ATGGACCTGTCACGCAGAGTGGACATTCTTCTGTCCCAGTGATTAACTGAGGGCTGCTGTTGTGAAGGCACATCTCTTGTTTACTCTGCTCACAGGTCGGCTGTAGATAACTGAATGCCTCTTTTGCACCAGGCATTTTACAAGTACTGATATGCAGGCCCAGGCGGTTATCTGAGGGCCTCTCCCGAACTGCCTAACCTTTCCTTGGAAGACAGTGACACTGGCTAATTTTATTTTATGGCCCCATTGGTTTTATGTCATGTGGTTTAAGACATGGTCTCTCATTGAACCTGGAGTTCTTTGATTTGGCTAGACAAGTTGGCCATGAGCTCCCAGGATCTGCCACCTGCTCCCAGCTGGTAAGTGGGTTACAGACGTACATAGCCTTAATGCCTAGCTCTTTACCAGCTGCTGGAGATCTGGACTCAGGTCCTGTGTGTGTGTGTGTGTGTGTGTGTGTGTGTGTGTGTGTGTGTGTGTTGTAGCAAGTACTCTATCCACCAGGCCATCTCTGCAGCATCAGGAGTGTCATTTAAAGACCAGGGACAGGCAAACTGTGATGCCAGGCTTAGAATAACGGTCACCTTGGGCAGCTCCTGAGGTTGGGGTGAGGGTTAAGGGGTGCTAGAAACACAAACATCCTGTCTTAAGCCGAACAGCAGATACGTGGTGTAAAAAAGATCCGTTGAGTGTAGTGTCGAGCTTAAAAGTTAATGTATGCTTTGATGAAAAGGAACTAAATCAGACACAGTGGCATGTCCATGCAATCTCAATACTTGGGAAAGAGACGGAGGCAGGAGGATCCAAAGTTTGAGACCAACCTAGCCTACACAGTAGCATCCTGTCTCAAAGAAATCTCAAACCAGAGGTAACCCCAGGTGTTCATTTGACGATAAATAGAAATCAGGCCAGCTGTGGGGCCGCACACCTGTGATCCAAGCACCGAGGAACATGGCACAAGGAGGTTAAATAGTTCAAGGCCACCCTGGGCTGCGTAGTGAGCATAGTGTGTTTGAGGTCAACCTGGACTCTTTATATATAAAACAAAGGTAATTCAAGTGAAGGAGCATTGTGGTCAAAGTTATGTCAAGGGGCATGTTCTGACCTGAGGCCCTGGAGGTCCCAGGGCTGAGATGGCGGGACCATCCCAGAGCTGGGGCACACGCCAGGCAGTGGGTAAGCATGGGGAAGTGTGGACCTAGGCAGAGCCGCTGGTGCAGCTCCACCTCAGCTTCCTCTCTCCCTGCTTGCTGGCTTGGGCCTCAGCTGCATCCATCATCTGCTCCCAGCTCATTAAAATTATCTCTTTTTAGTTGCAAATGGGCTGTTTATGAGGATCATTACTTGAATGGTCTGCACAGGGCTCCGGGCTGTCTGTCTGCTGCTGATGGCTAGTTAGGTTAATCGCATGTGTCTCCTCTCTGCCTGGGCCTGGCCCAAAGTCTGGGACTGTGTAGATCATGGCAGGGGCTGGACAGGATAGTCTTGCTGAAGCGTGGCTGGCGCGGCTGCTTGCCAGGCATAGGGTGTCTTTGAAGCCGGACTTGAGAACGAGGTTGGCTTATGTTTCTGAGACTAGTTCTTCTGTTCCCTTGAAATAAATATAGTTCCGTGGGCTTTTCTAAGTGTGTTTATTTTAAAAGCCCGTTGTCAACTCCATCCTCCATCTCTTGGTTTGTTGATTTTTTTTTCAAGTGTCCATTCTTTCAGAGTATAAGGGGATCCATTTTAATGTCTTTGCTTGGCACCCTGTCGCTTTGTCTGTGTGTGTGTGTGTGTGTGTGTGTGTGTGTGAGAGAGAGAGAGAGAGAGAGAGAGAGAGAGAGAGAGAGAGAGTTTTACTGACCTGTGAAAACCTAGGCAACATTTGGACCTAGCATGGTGTCTTCTGTACCCCTGGTGTGTCTAAGGAAGAGATGAATATCAGCCAGTGTTTATTGAACTCCTGGCAGGGTGCATTTATGATCTTGAATTATTTAAAACAATCTCCCCCAAACACCCTCAGCTGATAGAGACAAGAGAGCCAAGGACAGCTGAAAAGCGAGGAACTGAACATCTGCCTTCAGAACCCATCAAGGAGCTTCCCCCACCTCAGTTATTAGGGTTGCCTGTAACTCACCTCCTAGCCCCTGCCTGAGTCCTCTCAAGACTCGTTATTGTGCTCATTGCATAGGGTGATGAACAGCAGGAGGCTGTTTTGGTGCCCGGAACACACAAGCACTCAATAAACGTAGTTATGATTATTGCATTTACTGTCATGATCATTGTTGCTTGCATATTTACTGTAGAAATAATGCAAGAACTCAAGATAGAAGGATGAGCACCGACTGAGACAGAGTTGAGGGGAGCATGGTCCGCATGTCTGTGACTGTATCTGCTCCTTCAGGACTGGGCAGGAGAGCTGGGCTTGCAGTGGTCCAGGGCTGGGAGCTGCTAATGTCCCCTGCCTTGCCTGGCCCTGCTTTGTGCTGGTACAGGCAGCAGACACCCAGCCGGTCAGATCTGCACCCACCAGCAACCAGGGATGTACAGATAGAGGTCGGGCCCTGAGGTCCACACACTAGCAACTAGATGTTCCCTGCATGCTGTTTCCTTTCATAACTTGTGTTAGGTAGGTATGTGGGTACGTGTGTGTTGCATCCTTGTTGTATGTATGTATGTATGCTCACATGTGTGTGGTCATACATATGTCCTCAATTGCTCCCCACTTTGTTTACAGATGCATAGTCTCACTGAACTCCAAGCTCACACACTTGGATAGGGATTCCCCTTACCAGCAGGCCATCTTGCCTGCCTAGCTTTCTGGTAAATGCTGGTGATCTGATCTCCAGTCCACAGCTTGCACAGCAATCCCTTCGTCTGCCGAGCCGTCGCTCCAGCCCCTGGTTGAAGAATTCAGAGTCCAGCTCCAAGCACTGGTGCCAATAGAGGCTGTGTGAAGAGGTTCAGGGTCCCCAGTATAGGAACTTACGCCTGCAAATTTACCAAGGCTCATCCGTGATCCCAACACCCAGGCAGCTGAGGCAGGAACATTGTGACTTAGTGACAGCCTGGACTCCAAAAACTTATAAATACTTATAAATAAGTGCTTGTGAGACTCACAGTGTAAGATACAGAACAATCCAGAAGCCAGTGGTGCATCCCAAGTTCTATCTGATGTCCTGTGGCAGTGCAAAAAATAGTTCTTTCTCCCCTGTCAAGTGAGGGCCTCATCCTCTTGGCCTTAACAAGTGTTGGAATGCACACACACACACACACACACACACACACACACACACACACACACACACCATTCCATTCTTCACCCAGCTTAAGAATTCCTCCTGGTTTTCAGGCTTGTAGCCCCCAGGCAGCCCCGCCCCATGCTGCTGTGGAAATCTGTTTCAGCACCTTGGAGAGCACCACCGCCCTCACCCAGATTTTAAGCAGCAACAGTTGGTGCCCCCCACCACGTCGTGATTTTCTCCCAAAGTTAGCTTTTCTTTTATATATAGAAATAGACATTCCTTCTTGAATTCACCCTCTCCTGAGCTCCAGAGCCCAGAGGCTGTCCTTACAGGTTTGGGGGGCCAGGTCTGTGGCACCATGGTAAATTGCTACCGAGCAGGCGTTTCAGACACCAGCAGCTTTTACAAAGGCTCTGCAGTGGGTTGACAGTACTTTTATCTCATTATCTAGCAGTGAAAGGGTTTCATTGTGTGTGCAAAACGAATGTGTATTAGCGGTGACAAATAGGGTCTTTCAGCACGCTGCCGCACTTCGTCATACATATGTTGGATTAAAGAGTTCGTCCTGGAAATGCGCTCCCCGCATCTGCGTGCGCGTTTTTTAATAAATCTGATTGCAGGAATTTATTGCACCACCGGATTTAGGAAATTATGGGGCTTGATTGCTGCAAATACATCGGGTGATGTATGCAGAAGGGTTCATCGAGTTATCGTCCAGAAAAAAAAAGAAAAAGAGAAGTCTCAAGTCAGTGCCAGCCGTGCAGGCCACATAAACAGAGCGCTTCTTGAATTATGCAGATGAGTCCTGACAACGCCTCCTGTGAAAGCCCCTGCAAAGGGAGCTTCTAGAGAAGCGATCACGCACATACATGCCAGGAGCAGGCCCCATCCATGATGTATGCCCCCCCTCATCTTCCCTTCTCCCTCCATTCCTGGTCTCATGTGTCCAAACCCTGGTCCGATTCCTGAATGTGCGCAGTCAGGCCAGCTCCCCCTCCCCCCCTGCAACCTGGCAACCTGGTTCTTTTCAGCCGGCAAGGGTTCTGGGAACCTTTGGTGATTTACCATGGGGTACACGCAAGGTCAGCGTGCTTCTCTTCAGCACCTTCATTTTTCCAAAATCTACTGGAATTAAAAAGCCATCTATATCGTAAGAGGCGAATTTATGAGCCTTTAAGGGAGAAAGCAGCAGTTGGAGCAGTGCCCGCCGCTGATGTATGGAAGCTGTCGGCAGCACTCGCGCGCGGTAGGGGGGGGGGGGGAAGAGCCCATACAATATGCCGCGCGCCGCTATTTTGACACGCTTTGGAGATGTTTTCTTCAGTTACTGACAGGCTTATGCCATCACTCCTTGGAAATTTAAGAGGTGGGGCTGGGGTGGGGAGAGATTGGGAGGAGATAAAACCTCAGTTTAACTTTGACCCAGCTCCTTAGGAGGACAAAAAAAACAAATAGCCCACATTGTCCTGGGGTTTTTTTGGGGGGGGTCGTTGTTTTATGCCTCTCTTTTGCTTTGGGGGGTTTTGTTGTTGTTGTTTTTTAACTTTTTTCATTCATGCCAGGAGTCAATATTTAGCCTTTTCTCAGCCCTGTGAATTACAAAAACTTGTCCCGAGTGCTGCGTTTACAATAATTCAAAAGCAAAGAGAAGAGGACAAATCTCTCTCTCTCTCTCTCTCTCTCTCTCTCTCTCTCTCTCTCTCTCT